CAGATTCTGCCCCATTTCTAGTGTTTCATTTAATGCAAACACAACATACAGCCTCCTGTATTTGCTTGGTAAATCTGGGTTTTCCATGCCTCAGTACAGAGCTAGATGTAATCTTAATCCAAAAAAATCATGTGTTTCATTGTGAGATAGAAAGATGAATAAACCACAGAAGCATAACTTATCTATAGGCTGTCCTTTAAGAATAGCAAATATGGACATCATCTCAATCAATTGGTTGTAAATCATGAGTTTTATTGCATAAATGTGGTTGTAAAGAGGAAATGAGGACTGATTTCTTTTTGGTGAACATGATGGGTGTTGTGAGGGAGAGGTGTGCAGGATGTAGGGAGTGGCACAGATGGGGGCTGCATATGCGTCACCATGAGCACCAGAGAGAGGACAGTGAATACATTACTGGAGCTCACTGAGCAGAGGTCTATCAGAAAGACGCTGCCTTTGTTGCTAAGCACAACTTTAGCCAATCAGGATGATCATTACAATTGCATTCATTCTAGCTGTCCAGTCAGGTTTGTGTGCAGCATTAGCTGCTACTAAATATTACACGTTATCTTTTATTTGCAGTTTTGATTGATGATCTGTTGGTGGCTGAGAAGTAGGAGGCTGATAGCTTCATTCATTATCTAATCAAATAATCAGACTGATCAGTATAACTGTTTGACCTCTGTTATTTTCTGTGTCTCTGGTTTCCACATAATTCTCATATAACAATTTATGAGTCACACAAATTCACGAGTGTCTGTAAAGTGAGAAGCCTTGTTTTCAATGTATTAAAGGAACAGATGCTACTAACACTGCATTGTGCAAAAATGCATTTAAAAAATGACAACAAACATGAGGAAACTGGGTGTGTTGCATAAGTAGTGACAGGTCATGAAATCATCTGTAACCATCAGACCAGGATTCTGTTTTTCCTGCCTGTTGTTTTACAGCAGAGTAACTAATTAGCAGACTTTTTTGGCCATTGTGTAATGATGTTCCAAATGAGTGAACAATGTTTCTCATTGAGGCTTGCAGGGTGTGTGTGTGTGTGTGTGTGTGTGTGTGTGTGTGTGTGTGTGTGCGCGCGCGCGTGTGTGTGTGTGTGTGTGTGTGTGCGCGCGTGTGTGTTTGGCACACGTTGTATTGTTCTGTCCTGGTTTTCATCTTGTTCCAGGTCATGTCGTCACAGACCCACCTCTGTCCTACTTACTGAAATAAAATAAAAAGACCCTGGATAGGTAAAGCAGAGCTTTGGAAATATACGATTAAGTGGTAGTTGGATTAAACTCAATACGATTTATTTCTCTCTACCTTGTTGTCTCTCTTCTTTCTTATAATCTCTTTATAAAATTATCCAATAGAGGATGAGGCTCACATGTGCCCATTTTTGTATCAGTTGTGTAAAATAGCAAGTGTGCCTCTCATTCTTTGTGTTTTTCTCCCTTTGATTATTTATAAAACATTTTCAGTCTTGGAAAACAATTTATGTGTAATTTTTTAATAAACAACACCAGAAACACATTTATTGGTATGTGGAGCTTATCCTTGCTAATTTTGGCACATTATCTGTGCATGGTTATAAGTTTTAAGCTTAATTTGGGGTGTGGCTTTATTAACATGTTTACATAGAATAAAGTTGTGTATGAGCTAGCTAACAATAAATGGAAATTGGATGAATAAATTGTTTTGAGTGAAGAAAGACACACAGAGCAGGATGCCCCCTTCCGTTACACTGAGCACAAACCCAATCAAAATGAAACAGACGACATCAGTATCTCATCCTGTGAAGTAGGGTGTTGTACATTTTCTGCAGTGAGGGGGATGTAGTGGGGCTTCCTCTCAATCCTGGCTCAGAAAGGGTGGGGTGTGGCTGGATGCAAAGGTCAGGCATTCTGAGAGGCTGCAAGAGAGCAGAGAAGCTGGCTCTTTTGCTAAATCTGCTGTGTAAGTAAATAACAGCTGCATTAACACAGCCCAGCTGGAAGTCAGGACAGCCTTTTTGGAACACAAAGGAGTACTGATAGTGCGCACTTATGTGTTTGTTTCTCAGTTTCTTTTACAACAAAATGATCACATTCATTCAGTAAAATTCATTGATTGAATGTATTTGAGCATAAAAAGCTGCGAGTGGATGCATGTTTTTCTACTATCACCACTGCTGCGAAAGATGAACCAGAAGGCTTCTGTGTTTGTGAGTGTGGGTGTGTGAGTGTGTGTTTGGCACATATTCTTGTCTGTGCCAAAGATGGCGTTGCTATGGTGACAAGGGAGCAATGCATGAGAAAAAAAAGAAACAGAAAAAGACCTTAAAGCATGTTCACAGAGCACCCCTCCCCCAGCATTAATACAAACGTACACATCCATAAAATAGTGATTATTGATAAGCATGCATGCAAACTTAAAGATAAATCATGGCACTGTCATTCACTGGCAGAAACAAATCTAAATGGTTTAACTATGTATGGATGTAACCTTTAATAATGGAGTGAACATGCCTAAAATGTGTTGTTGGACTCTTCCACCCCTTCAGCCTCCTCCCTTTCCCTCCGACTCCCTTCTCCTTCTGCCTCTGTGAACACACAGCTCCTCGTGCTTTCTTTAGCTGTGGTACATTTGAAACACAGCTAAAGAAGCAGCCACAAACAGAACCAGTAAGATTATTACCCTTAGCTACCACCTATTGTGGATTTTACTCATTTCTATTTTTTCAGTAATAATTATTCACTAAATGTGATTAACACATCTTCAGGGACAACCAGGTTAATCACTAGATGTGTGAATAAAAATGTAAACATCCTGAGTATTTCTAATCTAGTCAAATGTTATCAGAAAAGAGAAGTGTGCTTGTCCATATATGATTGAAATGTATTATTTATTCGTTTGGAGAAACATATTTTGATTGTTTTCTTGTTCTGCTTATGTGTCCCAGAAGATCTGACACTGAAGAGGAAATGTTGTATTCGACATTTTGTTCATCCTGAAGCAATTACTGTGACCTTCACTTACACCCTAGTTAGAAGTCAGATTAAACTGACTCAAATCTGGACGCATGAACTGCTTTGTACTTTATTTACTACATCTCATCTACCTGATGCTCTGAATATATTTTTTTAGATGCTAAATTCATGAAGTACTATTTGTAACATGTACAATGGTTACGTGTTATTCCTTTCAGATATGATAAAATAAAAGTTTATGTTTAAGCATTTAGCAGACGCTTTGGTCCAAAGTGACTTACAAGTGATAATGAAGCCAGCGGGTTGCCCTTGAGGCTAACAACAAAACACTGACCAGTCAATCCCAGGTGGCAGTGAGGCAGCATAATGAGTCATAAAGGGAAGTGAACATGGAATGTGCAGTAGAGTGGGGAACGGGTGCAGGGAGGGTCCTAGTTTAGAAGATGCTCTCTGAAAAGCTTCAGGAGTCCTAAAAACTAAAATCATGAAAGTAATAAAAATAAAGTATGTAGTGAAACATGTTTTACAAACAGCTACTGTTAAAGCTGAGTGAACCTGGTCATGCACGTGTGTCATGTTGATTTTATCACAAAGGTAATCCAGACTGAAATCCTGAAGGTTGATGAGAAATAAACAGTGACCTACAAATGAACGAGTTATTAAATTTATCACAGGCTATAGAGGTGTGACAGTTAAGCTGATTTAAATTTGTGTACATCAGTTATTGCTGTGTTCATTTTCTAATGCACATCAGGAAACTGAGCTCATAGTTTATTTACTGTGAGGCACTATTATTAAAATTGAGATTTAACAGATGACTGTAGCAGGGAGATGATTATTAATATTTTTGAATGACATCATGTTTCCTTCTGAATGAAAATAGGACATGACTTTCTGATTTTGCAGTCTAATCCCAGGATTACGTACAAGGGAATCTGCATAAGTGCATGGCTGCTGTCTCTGTGGAGATGTAGAGCAAGGGTATTCAATTCCAGGCCTGGAGGGCCCGCATCCAGCACATTTTAGATTTAACTCAGATTTAACACATGCAGTTTCCACCAGCAGGTGATTAACAGGCTTCTGCAGAGCCTGAGGAGCTGCTGCACAGGTGACAACTACTGAATCAAGTGTGATGGACCAGAGAAACAACCAAAATGTGCTCGATACCGGCTTTCCAGGACATGGATTGAATACCCCTGATGCAGTGGAACAGGAAAACAATTTACAAAAAATGTATTGCCCTTATTTTTTTCTATTTAATTATAATAGGTTAATTCTTTTATTTATTTATTTTCTTTTTTTTCTGGGGGGGGGGGGGTTGTTGACACAAAACTAAACTTCAGTTAAACATTTGTGAAGTGTCAAAGCCAGCAGAGGGGAAGAATAAAGGATCAGAAAGAGCTTGAATTTTGCCACTTATATGATGACTTTATCATAATGACAACAGAGACTTGAACGGAATATTAGCATAATTGGAAGGATAATACCTCATAATTGTCATACACAGGATTTATGGTGGCAGTGTTTTAAATCTAGTATTTTTAATAAGTTACTTTAATTTGGATGGATGGATGGATGGATGGATGGATGGATGGATGGATGGATGGATTAATGGTTGGATAGAATCTTCAATGTTACAATAAAATCTTGCTGAGTCGGCTATAAAGTAATATTAATAGACATGGTGACACCCTAGAACACACAAATCCGTAACTTCAAATTTTTCCACAATTCAGCAGTTTTTTAACGTTAAACATTTGTTTTTAGGCAAAAAAAGGAAAACCTGCCAAGTCTCTTCATGTGAGGCACGACACAGAGATCTGTCCATGGTGCTGAAGACGTCCTACAGCTTTATAAATGTAATTTGATGGGTTGTGACATGAATTGTAATAAACGTGTGTGCGTGTGTGTGCGTGCGTGCGTGCGTGCGTGCGTGCGTGCATGTGTGTGTGTGTGTGTGTGTGTGTGTGTGTGTGTGTGTGTGTGTGTGTGTGTGTGTGTGTGTGTGTAAATGCCTGCATAAAGGTGATAACTTTTATTTGTTTCTTTTTGTTTTTCATTTATTGATGGTTAGTGGTGTTTATCATCAGTGAGCAAATAGCAAGCCGTTCCTGTAATTTAATATTTTTACCACTTGAAGTCAGTGTTGATCCATCAGTGTACGAGCTGCTCTTCTACATGACTAGGCCCCTCCTGTTTCCACAAGAGAAGGACCTCACTACAGTCTTTGTCACAAAGACACGCAGGGATGGTGTAAGGAAAACTCGCATTGCTCAAACACTGTTTTAATTCTCATTGTCGTCTAAAATATTAAACCCTGGTTAGATTCCGATTCATTTTTTTCATGATTGAACAAAAAATGTCTTCGGATCATAGAATGAGCTATTTCTGGATATTTTTGAATATTTTCTTGATGGATCGTTGCTGGCAGACGGCGGCTGGACAGCTCTCCTATTCCGTCTTGGAAGAGATAACCCCAGGGACTGCAGTTGGAAATGTCGCAAAGGATCTTAACTTGAACACACAGGAGCTGGAATCTCGCATGTTTCAGATCGTTGTGGGTTCAAAGAAAAAATTATTGGAGGTAAACCTGAAGACTGGTGTTCTCTTTGTCAGCGAGAGGATAGACAGAGAGGATCTATGTCCAGAGGAACGCAGATGCTCGCTTAACATGGAGGCTGTAATAAGCAACCCTTTAAAACTTTACCGTATTGACGTGGAGATTCTGGATGTAAACGACAACGCCCCGCTGTTCACCACGAAAACACAGACTCTCTCTATAGCAGAAAACACTCTACCAGGAGTGAAATTTGCTTTATCCGAAGCCACAGATGCAGATGTGGGCAAAAACGGGGTCAACATTTACAAGTTAAGCCAGAACGAACATTTTTCCTTGGCAGTGCACAAATCAGGCGACAGCGTGTCTGCGGAGTTGGTGCTGCAGAACGCATTAGACAGAGAGAAGCAGCCTGTCATCATGATGACGCTCATCGCTGTAGATGGGGGGACTCCTCCCAGGTCAGGCACCTCTCAGCTCGTTGTGAATGTGTTAGATATTAATGATAATATTCCGATCTTCACCGAATCTCTGTATAAAACGAAAATCACCGAAAACGCACGGCTGGGCGCATCGGTAATCGCAGTGAGCGCCACGGATGCAGACGAGGGTCTGAACGGGGAGATTGTTTATTCCTTAAGGAGTAAAGATCAAGATCACGTGCTGGGTATTTTTGAAATTGACCCTCGAACTGGTGTGATTAATGTGAAAGAAAAAATAGACTTTGAAGAGAGAAGGGCTTTTGAGATACGTGTGGAGGCCAGTGACAAAGGGCAGCCTCCCATGTCTGCTCACAGTAAGGTGCTGGTGGAAGTAGTGGATCTAAACGATAACGCTCCGGAAATTACAGTCACGTCCGTTCATCAGACAGTCAGAGAGGACGCAGCGACAGGAACCGTGGTTGCGCTTGTGTCCGTGATGGATAAAGATGGTGGAAAAAACGGGGAAGTAACTGTTAAAATTAAAAACGAAGTTCCGTTTAAACTTGAAACTAATTACAGGAATTATTATTCATTGTTAGTTGACGGTCCCCTAGACCGAGAAACTCTATCTAAATACAGCATTGCCATAGAAGCTACTGATAAAGGAACTCAACCACTTCACAGCACAAGTGTTTTTATTATAAATGTTTCAGATGTTAATGATAACCCACCGGTCTTCTCTGATGATGTCATTAATGTGTATGTAAAGGAAAACAGCGAAGTGGGAGCTGTGCTTAAATCAGTCACTGCAAATGATGCTGACAGCAATCAGAACAGCAAAATTAGTTATTCCGTTTTACAAAATAATTCTAACTTACCGTTATCTACCCTGGTGAACATCAACTCGGAGACTGGAGACATCATCAGCCTGCAGTCTTTTAACTACGAGGAGCTAAAAACATTTCAGTTTAAAGTTCAGGCCACAGACTCTGGTGTTCCTCCACTCAGCAGCAACGTGACTGTTAACGTTTTAATCCTGGATGAAAATGACAACAATCCAACAATTATGGCTCCTTATTCTGAGCTGGGTTCTGTTAACAGTGAGACCATCCCCTATTCTGCTGAAGCAGGGTACTTTGTAGCAAAGATCAGGGCTGTGGACGCAGATTCTGGATACAATGCGCTGCTTTCTTATCACCTGACGGAGCCCAAAGGAAGCAACCTGTTCAGGATCGGAACCAGCACCGGGGAGATCAGGACTAAGAGGAGGATGAGCGACAACGACCTGAAGAGTCACCCCTTGGTGGTGCTGGTTTCTGATAACGGAGAGCCTTCTCTGTCAGCTACTGTGTCTATTGATGTGGTGGTGGTTGAAAGCACAGCTGACATCCAGACTCAGTTCAGAAACGTGCCTCTAAAGGAGGACAGCTTCTCGGATCTGAACCTGTATCTGCTGATCGCCATCGTGTCGGTGTCGGTCGTCTTTCTGCTGAGTCTGATCAGTCTAATAGCTGTCAGATGCCACAGGACAGACGGTGGTTTCAGCAGGTACAGCGCCCCGATGATCACCACCCACCCTGACGGGAGCTGGTCTTACTCTAAAGCTACTCAGCAGTATGACGTGTGTTTCAGCTCAGACACACTGAAGAGTGACGTAGTGGTTTTCCCCGCCCCGTTCCCACCTGTAGATGCTGAACTGATCAGTATTAATGGAGGAGACACTTTTACCAGAACTCAGACCTTACCTAACAAAGACAAGGTAAGATAATTAAACGACACCGTCAATTCGACATGACACAACTGATCCTAGGTAGATTTTTAGCATGTTAAAGGCTGTTTCGCATTTTTTTAATTTTTACACATTGCATTTCGAAGTGTTTGTTTTTTTATTTAGGTTCACATGTAAATCGTATTTCTGCACAAAGAAATTACATTTTTGGCAGTTTTACTTATAGTCAATGGTCTTTGGAGGCTATGGTGTTGTCCATGATGCAGAAAAGTGTTTCACTGTTAGAAGTTAATTTTCCTTTCAATCAGCAGCTGATAATTTATCTGGCGTTGCTGGGAAAATATATATTTTTTATTTTATTCACATAGTAAATAATTACAGGTGTAAAGCTAATGATATAATATAATATAATATTATTACATCATATTATATTATATTATATATGACTATAGAATAGAACTTATTGTGATACAACACAATGTAATTTAATGTAATAAAATATCATATCATAATATAATTTAATATAAAATGAAGGTCATTATAATATAATATTAAGGTTATTTTAAATACGTTTTATAAAGTTCTGTGTTAGTCTATAGCTTGGTATTTATTTCAAGTTAGAACATAATTGCAGTTCATGTACAACACCACATGGTGACACTTAAGACCGTTACATTTAGGTTTTATTAGACACAAGAGCGGACTCCTCAGATTCAGAGGGTGGAGCGTTTTTTCTACTCTTTGTTAAGATGAGACACAGCACTGGAGACAAACTGGACATGTATTTAGCCTATAAAAAAGATAAATACTGGATTTGGTATTTTTTAGTAAAATCTGTTTGATTAGCGACGCTGAGTTAAAACCTGGGCATTCTTCGGCTGGATGAAATCATGGATTTACCAAGAGAACTGGGCCGTTTCTCGCTTTGCGTTTTGTTTGTGCTGCTACGCTGCGGATGGGAATCTGCTTCTGCTCAGCTCTCATATTCCATCTCAGAGGAGGCGATCCCAGGGACTTCAGTTGGAAATGTTGCGAAGGATTTGGATATTAATATCCATGATTTGGAGTCACGCATGTTTCAGATCGTAGGTGCGTCAAAAAGGACGTATTTTGATGTCAATTTGAAAACGGGCGTTCTGTATGTGAAAGAAGGATTAGACCGAGAGGAGCTTTGTGCCAAATCCAAAACATGTACTGTGAATATAGAAGCCGTGTTGAGCAACCCGATGAAGCTTTACCGGATAGAAATAACTGTAAGAGACGTAAACGACAACGCGCCAGTTTTCTCGGAGCAATATCAGTCGATTGATGTGCCTGAAAATACTTTACCGGGAGTAAAATTCGGGCTAATAGAAGCATCAGATTTAGATGTTGGGCAGAACGGTGTTAATACGTACAAGCTGAGTAAAAACGATTATTTTTTGTTGGAAATAAACAAAGGAGGAGACGGTGCGTCTGCCGAGCTGGTGCTGATGAAGTCGTTAGATCGGGAGACAGACTCCGTCATTGAGCTCACGCTGACTGCAGAGGACGGAGGAAATCCACCAAAGTCAGGCACATCAACGATAGTTATTAAAGTTTTAGATACTAATGATAACCACCCTGTTTTCGGTAAATCTTTATATAAGATTCAGATTCCTGAAAACGTAGATGTAGGAACGAGAATAATTATTTTGAATGCGACAGACGCAGATGAGGGTTCAAACAGTGAGGTAGAATATTCCCTGAGGAAAAGAGGTCAGGATCATATTTTAGATCTGTTTCAGATTGACTCGCTAACAGGAGCGATTATGGTTAAAGGTAACATCGATTATGAAGAGAATCCTGCGTTTGAGATCCATGCTCAGGCCAGTGACAAAGGACAGCCTCCAATGTCCGCTCACTGTAAAGTTTTAGTAGAGGTGGTTGATTTGAACGATAACGCCCCTGAGATCACCGTGACGTCACTACTAAACACGGTGAAAGAGGACGCACCTGTAGGAACAGCTGTAGCCCTTGTGTCGGTGCTGGACAAAGATGGAGGCAGAAACGGAGCAGTGACGGCTGTTATTGTAAATGAAAGCCCGTTTAAACTGGAAACCAATTATAAAAATTATTACTCGTTAGTGGTTAATGGGCCGCTTGATAGAGAGAATGTGTCTGAATACAATGTTACTATAATGGCATCTGATGAAGGGACTCCATCTCTCTTCAGCTCAAAAACATTTAATGTTCAGGTTTCTGACGTGAATGACAACCCGCCCCGATTCCCGGAACCAGTAATTAATGTTTACGTAAGAGAAAACAGTCCAGTAGGTGCGGTTATTAAAACTGTGTCTGCAGTTGATGCTGATGTTGGGAACAACTGTCAGGTCAGCTACTCGTTTTTACAAAGTGAGAAAACAGCTTCATCATCTCTGGTGAACATCAACTCAGAGACTGGAGACATCATCAGCCTGCAGTCTTTTAACTACGAGGAGCTAAAAACATTTCAGTTTAAAGTTCAGGCCACAGACTCTGGTGTTCCTCCACTCAGCAGCAACGTAACTGTTAACGTTTTAATCCTGGATGAAAATGACAACAATCCAACAATTCTGGCTCCTTATTCTGAGCTGGGTTCTGTTAACAGTGAGACCATCCCCTATTCTGCTGAAGCAGGGTACTTTGTAGCAAAGATCAGGGCTGTGGACGCAGATTCTGGATACAATGCGCTGCTTTCTTACCACCTGACGGAGCCCAAAGGAAACAACCTGTTCAGGATCGGAACCAGCACCGGGGAGATCAGGACTAAGAGGAGGATGAGCGACAACGACCTGAAGAGTCACCCCTTGGTGGTGCTGGTTTCTGATAACGGAGAGCCTTCTCTGTCAGCTACTGTGTCTATTGATGTGGTGGTGGTTGAAAGCACAGCTGACATCCAGACTCAGTTCAGAAACGTGCCTCTAAAGGAGGACAGCTTCTCGGATCTGAACCTGTATCTGCTGATCGCCATCGTGTCGGTGTCGGTCGTCTTTCTGCTGAGTCTGATCAGTCTAATAGCTGTCAGATGCCACAGGACAGACGGTGGTTTCAGCAGGTACAGCGCCCCGATGATCACCACCCACCCTGACGGGAGCTGGTCTTACTCTAAAGCTACTCAGCAGTATGACGTGTGTTTCAGCTCAGACACACTGAAGAGTGACGTAGTGGTTTTCCCCGCCCCGTTCCCACCTGTAGATGCTGAACTGATCAGCATTAATGGAGGAGACACTTTTACCAGAACGCAGACCTTACCTAGCAAAGACAAGGTAAGATTAACGTTTGGCATCATCTCTTTTTTGAGACTCCCTTTGTTTTACACAACATAGTTAACATCTGCGATGGCTTGGTCAAATCCTGTTTGAAACTCTCATTTGTGAAATAAGCATATCCTAAAGCCCCTTTTATAAGGCTATACTAACACACAATTTGTTTTGGGGGCTCTTTTTTTTGTCTGTTTGTTTATTGTTTGTTTATCCTATCAAAAATGCTGAAGCATTTTGGAGGCAAGGTCACCGTGTAAATATTTATATTTTTTGCTTAAAAATGTCCAATTTATTTTTGTGGACACTTTATGCATAACCATGGATTTATTCATTTGGAACTATTATCAATTTTTTAGATGAATTGTTTTTAACGAGGCTTGACTTCCCATATTATATTTGTCAATTAACGATATTAACCCACTTTGCTTGGCAGAATCAGTTAAACAAAAACTATGGCAGAAAAATATCAAGCACTTCTTATATATTTAGTTATTTTAAACAATTTCTTTAGATGACAATGTACACACGTTTCCAAAATTGTCTGTAGTTTTGAAACTGAAATCATTCATCAGTTTGTTCAACTATGTCTTTATTAGTATTCCAAGTCTGTGCCTTTGGTACTGCATGTTACTTCCGCGATTTAGATCCGGGGCTTATCATGAAACATCCGGGGCTTCAGCCCAAGTAGACGGGTCTAACGCTGCCCCTGGTGCCTAGAAGGTTTTTCGCTGTTCGTGGTGCTGAAAGTTACTTCTAGTCCTACATCAGCCATTGAACTTTTATCAGTAAAATACTAGAACTAACGAAACATCTGGAAATGGGAGATTTTCGTTTTTCACACGTCTTTTATTTTATTTTTTCATTCAATTGTTGTGAAATGTGTTTTTTTTTCCAATAGAAACTAAGCATAAACGATTACAAAACAATATGGAATCACTTAAATCAACATGTAATCACTTACTGCTCTCTAAAATTTGATATAAAAGTATCGTTTCTAATGGGGCTGTTAATTGTTAAGCGGCATGTTTCTCAGAAAACTGTTAAAACCCCAGACTATAACTGAAAACGGCAATTACAGTAAATTTAGACAGCAATCAATAATCATATTAAATGAACATGTGAATAATAGATGTTTTATGATCATTTTAAAAGAGATAGACGATCCCTTTACTTTAATGGACGTTTTTGATATGTAATTTATTTTAAATTATTGTACCACTTGATTTTGTCCACATGAGGACGGTGTAGACCATTACATATTTTTTCACCACATGTCGATCCTGGCTCCTCCCATGAAGAACATACATTTTCAAACAGACAAAAGGTTTGAGGAGAAGGAGAGCAGAGCAGCAAGATCACTCATTTCTGCTTCGCCTATTTTATATTTTCACTTCAAACTTGTGATTATTGGAAATAATTTAGTCAGATATTTTTGGTGTATATGCGCAATGATGCATTTTCCTGGAGGATGGAGATTTTTTTGGATTTATATCGCCGTCGTGCTGTTGGATTGTTTTTGGGAAACGGTCTCAGGACAAGTCTCTTATTCCGTCTCAGAAGAGGTCAGTCGAGGGACTGTTGTGGGAAATATTGCAAGAGATCTCAATCTTCATGTCCAGGAGCTTGAATCTCGAATGTTTCAGATCATTGCCGGATCAAAGACAAAGTATTTCGAGGTAAATCTAAAGACTGGTGCGCTCTTTGTTAACGAGAGGATAGATCGGGAGGAGCTCTGCAGCAAAGAGGCCAAATGTTCACTTAACGTAGAAGCTGTAATTAATAATCCTCTAAAGCTTTACAGATTTGAAATTACAATATTGGATGTTAATGATAACTCTCCGTCATTTCTCAGTACGGTCCAGTCAATTAACGTGAGCGAGAACACAGCAGCGGGGGAAAAAATCCCCCTGAATCCTGCGGAGGATTTAGACGTGGGTAAAAATGCTGTTAATGCCTACAAGCTCAGTCAAAATGAACATTTCTCTCTGATCACTCACAAAGGAGAGATTATAACACCGGAACTGGTTCTTCAGAGAGTTTTGGACAGAGAGAAACAGTTTGTGGTTCAACTCATACTGACTGCTGTTGATGGGGGAACACCAGCTAAGTCTGGCTCTATGACCATATTAGTGAATGTGCTGGACAATAATGACAATTCACCTGTTTTCAGTCAGACATTATACAAAGCCAGGGTGTATGAGAATGCAAAGGTAGACACACCAATAATACAAATAAATGCTACTGATTTAGATGAGGGACAAAATGGGAAAGTATTTTATTCATTTAATAAAATAGGTCGCGGAAAACAAACTGAACTGTTTGCTATCGATAAAAAAACAGGGGTTGTTACAAATAAAATAAATATTGACTTTGAGGAAAATAATGTTTTTGAGATTCGAGTTCAGGCCAGTGATGGAGCTTCCTCTCCTCTCACCTCACATGCTAAATTACTGATAGAAGTCTTAGACATGAATGACAATGCTCCTGAGATCTCAGTCACATCTCTGGTAAACTCAGTGAAAGAAGATGCATCTGTTGGCACTGCTGTTGCTCTCGTTTCAGTATTTGATAAAGACAGTGGTAAAAATGGCATGGTCAACTGTAAAATAACTAATCATGTTCCATTTAAGCTAGATTTGAATTATAAGAATTATTATTCATTAGTTGTGGACGGTCCTCTGGACAGGGAAACATCATCTCAGTATAATATCAGCATCACTGCTACAGATGAGGGCAGCCCCCCTCTCTTCAGCACCAGTGTCATTCATGTCCAGGTCTCTGATGTAAATGACAACAAACCTGTTTTTACAGAAAACATCATAAATATTTGTATTAAAGAAAATGCTCCAACAGGAGCAGTAATTAAAACAGTGTCAGCAGAGGATGCAGACACTGACCAGAATGGTCACATTACTTATTCAATTTTACATGAGAACAGAAACCTGCTGTCATCAATTATAAACATCAACTCAGAGACTGGAGACATCATCACCCTGCAGTCTTTTAACTACGAGGAGCTAAAAACATTTCATTTTAAAGTTCAGGCCACAGACTCTGGTGTTCCTCCACTCAGCAGCAACGTGACTGTTAACGTTTTAATCCTGGATGAAAATGACAACAATCCATCAATTCTGGCTCCTTATTCTGAGCTGGGTTCTGTTAACAGTGAGACCATCCCCTATTCTGCTGAAGCAGGATACTTTGTAGCAAAGATCAGGGCTGTGGACGCAGATTCTGGATACAATGCGCTGCTTTCTTATCACCTGACAGAGCCCAAAGGAAACAACCTGTTCAGGATCGGAACCAGCACCGGGGAGATCAGGACTAAGAGGAGGATGAGCGACAACGACCTGAAGAGTCACCCCTTGGTGGTGCTGGTTTCTGATAACGGAGAGCCTTCTCTGTCAGCTACTGTGTCTATTGATGTGGTGGTGGTTGAAAGCACAGCTGACATCCAGACTCAGTTCAGAAACGTGCCTCTAAAGGAGGACAGCTTCTCGGATCTGAACCTGTATCTGCTGATCGCCATCGTGTCGGTGTCGGTCGTCTTTCTGCTGAGTCTGATCAGTCTAATAGCTGTCAGATGCCACAGGACAGACGGTGGTTTCAGCAGGTACAGCGCCCCGATGATCACCACCCACCCTGACGGGAGCTGGTCTTACTCTAAAGCTACTCAGCAGTATGACGTGTGTTTCAGCTCAGACACACTGAAGAGTGACGTAGTGGTTTTCCCTGCCCCGTTCCCACCTGTAGATGCTGAACTGATCAGCATTAATGGAGGAGACACTTTTACCAGAACTCAGACCTTACCTAACAAAGACAAGGTAAGATTAACGTTATTTTTCAAATGCAATATCTGTTAAAGTGTTGTAATATTGGTTTTTTAACTGGATCACATTTCACATCTCTCAATCTTTGCGTCATTGTTTTCTTACCTTGTGGGTTTCTAGTGCTTCTAAAGACAAATACAATGTGTGTATGAATGATATGTCAAAATTTGGTCACTAGCCATTTTGAGCTATTTTTAAAGTTTCCTTAATGTCATGTCAGAAAAAGATAAATTAGCACACAACTCCTAAGGATTCACTGCCACTGGAAATGGAAGGGCAACAGTTCTACTCAAAACTCCTCACCTCATAAACCAAGATTAGCCAAGTAGTGCTCGCTGCAGAACCACAAAGGTGGAGCTGCACCAGAATCAGCCCTGCCCATCCCATCAGAGTCAGTCCAATTCCTTCCAGTTGTCAGACTTGATAGCATTCTGGAACCAAAGAGGGTGTTATAGCTAGTATCATCTAAAAAGCAAGATTGAGGACTGAGGACTGAGTTGAGAGGTTAACTGAACCGTTTTTGTAAAGGTTCCATTTAATTAAAAATCTAACTTTTAGAACTTTTTCTCATGTTATATTGTCATTTCCTCATAAGAAACACGCCAAAGCCATTTTTGGCCTCATTCACACATTTTCCTCCCATCTCGGCTTCAATTCGTTCCTCACCTCCGAATCGGGTCTGGTCTTGGTTCTCAAATCTGGATATTCTGTGAATTTTCTGACAAATTATCTCTGAAATGACTTTTACTGAGACACCGCCGAAAAATCATACATTCCATCTACAAAAACACATTCGATGGCACAATAACATGTGGCGCCACCACCTTGTTGTCAGATGTAGTCGTGAAGTGGGTGTGCAGTCAGCTCGGCATGTAATTTTGCGCAGGTTCGCCTCCCGGTAACGGCGCAAACAGTTTTTCTTCTTTTCTAGCTACACTTGCCAGTACTATGTTTTTAACCATTTATTGGTATACCGTTTACAATATAATGACTAATGTGTTTGTTTTTCTATTTATTTGTTTATTTAGCCAGTGTGAGTCCATTTGTGAGCAGAGTTTCAACTAAAATGCTGTTTAGGAACGACCAAATTCAAAGAACTTTTAGAAACAAATATTTTGCAGAAAATAAACATTACAACTAAAATATAAACAAATTAAATGTTTCAGCTGGCTAAATAGATAGCTGCCGACCCCACCGAGAGTCGAACCAACATCAGCAGAGGGGAAAGCAAAATATAAGTGAGACAATGTTGCCACTAGACTAACCAAGCCCATCAAATAAGTGTTCCTAAAGATTGTCCTACGCTATTCTGTTGGAGCGGCTATGGACATATTTACCAAAAGTGTAACAGTTGTAATTCATTATTATTATTATTATTATTATTATTATTACTATTATTATTATTATTATTATTACTATTATTATTACTATTATTATTATTATTATTATTATTATTATTATTACTCTTCTTATATGATGATGATGATGATGATGATGATGATGATGATGATGATTAATATTAAATAATATCATTAAATTTTTTTTGTTAATTTTTATAAGGTTTATTTTGCTATGAAGAGCAGCAGCTCATATCTAAGGATTTTCTTTGTGCTCTTTCCGAGTGCAGTTACTACTCACGTCCACGTGAGGACATTATAGACCGTCACATATTGATGTACAAAATGTTTCTGAACGCCCCTCCCAGATATAAAGGATGATTTTGCTCAGGTCTTTGTTACAAAGAGTCGTTGTGAGGAAGAAGACAGGGTTCTTTGTCTTCTCTAGGAGACTATTTCATTTTACTCGATCTCAGAAGCGTGGACCTGTCGAGGAATAATGGATGTCATGTATTTTTTTTAATAAGTGCATAACACGATGCCGATGCAAAGGAAACGCGGAGCTTGTGGATATTATTTGCTCGTTTGTATTTTGGATTGCTGCTGGAAGCTGGTATGTGGGCAGCTCTCTTATTCTATTTCGGAGGAGGTAAGTCCAGGGACCTCTGTGGGAAATCTCGCCAAAGATCTGAACATAAACGTGCAGGATTTAGAAGCGCGGATGTTTCAGCTCGTTAGCGGATCAAAGAGACAATATTTCGACACAAATCTGAAAACAGGAAGTATTTATGTCAGTGAACGAATCGATCGAGAGGAGCTTTGTGCAAAGGCTACAAAATGCACTGTTAATGTCGAGGCCGTGATGAACAGCCCGCTAAAGCTGTACCGTTTGGAAATAATTATCCTTGATGTAAATGATAACGCCCCATTTTTTCCTGAAAAATTACAGACTATTAATATAGCAGAAAGTATTTCACCAGGGGGGAAATTTGGTATTATAGGAGCGTTGGATCTGGATGTCGGGAAGAATGGTGTTAGCACATACAAGCTGAGTCCAAATGATTACTTTTCTATAGACATCCACAAAGGAAGAGACAGTGTGTCTGCTGAGCTTGTGCTCCAAAAGGCTTTAGACCGGGAAAAACAACCCATCATTAGGCTCACACTGACTGCAGTTGATGGTGGAAACCCGCCAAAGTCAGGTACATCACAAATTATAATAAATGTTTTAGACATAAATGACAACGCTCCGGTTTTTAGTAATTCTTTATACAAAGCCAGCATAACTGAGAATCTATCTGTGGGGCACACAGTCATTGTTTTAACTGCAGTAGACGCAGATAACGGAATAAATGCAGAAGTAGAATATTCTTTAAGAGGAAAAGGCCAAGATCTCATTTTAGATCTGTTTCAGATTGACTCGCTAACAGGAGCGATTATGATTAAAGGTAACATCGATTATGAAGAGAATCCTGCGTTTGAGATCCACGCTCAGGCCAGTGACAAAGGACAGCCTCCAATGTCCGCTCACTGTAAAGTTTTAGTAGAGGTGGTTGATTTGAATGATAACGCCCCTGAGATCACCGTGACGTCACTACTAAACACGGTGAAAGAGGACGCACCTGTAGGAACAGCTGTAGCCCTTGTGTCGGTGCTGGACAAAGATGGAGGCAGAAACGGAGCAGTGACGGCTGTTATTGTAAATGAAAGCCCGTTTAAACTGGAAACCAATTATAAAAATTATTACTCGTTAGTGGTTAATGGGCCGCTTGATAGAGAGAATGTGTCTGAATACAATGTTACTATAATGGCATCTGATGAAGGGACTCCATCTTTCTTCAGCTCAAACACATTTAATGTTCAGGTTTCTGACGTGAATGACAACCCGCCCCGATTCCCGGAACCAGTAATTAATGTTTATGTAAGAGAAAACAGTCCAGTAGGTGCGGTTATTAAAACTGTGTCTGCTGTTGATGCTGATGTTGGGAACAACTGTCAGGTCAGCTTCTCGTTTTTACAAAGTGAGAAAACAGCTTCATCATCTCTGGTGAGCATCAACTCAGAGACTGGAGACATCATCAACCTGCAGACTTTTAACTACGAGGAGCTAAAAACATTTCAGTTTAAAGTTCAGGCCACAGACTCTGGTGTTCCTCCACTCAGCAGCAACGTGACTGTTAACGTTTTAATCCTGGATGAAAATGACAACAATCCAACAATTCTGGCTCCTTATTCTGAGCTGGGTTCTGTTAACAGTGAGACCATCCCCTATTCTGCTGAAGCAGGGTACTTTGTAGCAAAGATCAGGGCTGTGGACGCAGATTCTGGATACAATGCGCTGCTTTCTTATCACCTGACGGAGCCCAAAGGAAACAACCTGTTCAGGATCGGAACCAGCACCGGGGAGATCAGGACTAAGAGGAGGATGAGCGACAACGACCTGAAGAGTCACCCCTTGGTGGTGCTGGTTTCTGATAACGGAGAGCCTTCTCTGTCAGCTACTGTGTCTATTGATGTGGTGGTGGTTGAAAGCACAGCTGACATCCAGACTCAGTTCAGAAACGTGCCTCTAAAGGAGGACAGCTTCTCGGATCTGAACCTGTATCTGTTGATCGCCATCGTGTCGGTGTCGGTCGTCTTTCTGCTGAGTCTGATGAGTCTAATAGCTGTCAGATGCCACAGGACAGACGGTGGTTTCAGCAGGTACAGCGCCCCGATGATCACCACCCACCCTGACGGGAGCTGGTCTTACTCTAAAGCTACTCAGCAGTATGACGTGTGTTTCAGCTCAGACACACTGAAGAGTGACGTAGTGGTTTTCCCCGCCCCGTTCCCACCTGTAGATGCTGAACTGATCAGTATTAATGGAGGAGACACTTTTACCAGAACTCAGACCTTACCTAGCAAAGACAAGGTAAGAATACGTTTTGCTTTATAAGTTTTGGACATGTGGGGAAAAAAATAAGCATAGCATTCTTTCTCCTTTTCTGAGAAGACTTATTAAAATTCCTTTATCAAAAGTGTAATTTTGACGTGAGCATAACAAAATGATGCGGCATTCTTCTAAAAGTGTTAACATTATCCATCACATCTCAAAAGTTTATTTATTTATTTATTTATTTATTTATTTATTTATTTATTTTATTTAACGAGATTAGTAAGTTTATTGCAACTATATACCATAATGCCGAACACGTTTTATATTTTCATGTTGTGTTTCATACATTTAGAGTTTTATTTAGGCAGTTTTATATTTAATGCGGCTCAAAACTATTTTGCAATTAAAATGAGCCCTTTCTCCACATTTCTCATGCAACCATAAACTCATTGTCTATTTGATTCGGTTTAGGGAAAACATAAAGAAAACTACAGATCCGCATATATTATCTTCACTAATATAATGTCCAATCAATTGTGTTCATAGTATTCATGAAAAGTATTTCGACAGTTGGTAAATTGGTAAATTTATTAATTCATCCATTTTCCAGTATTATATTTGAAGGTTTTGGAGCGCGATCGCCTGTCGAGCGTTCTTTAGATTTGGAAATAAATTAAAAAAAGAATAAAAAATGCAGAATGAAACGGATGTGTAGACTACCTCTCTGCCGCTGTCCGTGGTGCTGCAAGTGCGTGTGTGTTTCAGCGTCACTGACGCCATTGACAAAACAAATACATACCGGTATTATAATAACGAACACAAAAACGACGGAATTTTGTTGCAAATTCAACTGAACGTATGTCCCCATAACTTTGTAATTCCGTCCTCAAGGTAAAGGCGAAATAATTTTAAAATATGAACGAATCTAAAAAGCAACACATGTAAATTATTAAACTAAAAAGTGAGCCGTTTTGCACTGGATTAGAAGTGTTTAATACAGTTTCAGAACGTTTCACGGATTCGGGATTTGTAAAGCGTGTGCAATTTCAAACGGAATTTAACTGACTGAATTTTCTAAAATTTCTGGGGGAAAAATGAATGAAGCAGCTATTTTTACTGTAATTCGGCATTTTATATCACGTGATGTTATCTTACAAAATGAAAATACATTTTAGGTGAATAAATTCAGAACGAGGATCTTGATTTGATTTGTATTCATTATTTTATTATTGTACCGCTTGTTTCTGTCCACACGAGGACAGCGTAGACCGTCACATATATTTCTGACTACATAGGTTCGGACTCCTCCTATTTTCAGTGAATGATTTCCAAACACAGACAAAAGGATTCAGCAGAGGAAGAAAAGCTGTGCACAGACCTCGATTTTATCCGCCTCCTTTATTTGGATATTCACTTTAAACTTGTTATTTTTGAAGCCGCATTACCATATCTATTTTTGGAGTGTTCTAGTGAAGTATAGCGATGCATTTTCCAGGAAGATGGACATCTTTGTGGATTTATATCGCCGTCGTGCTGTTGGATTGTTGTTGGGAAACGGTCTCAGGGCACGTCTCTTATTCCGTCTCAGAAGAGGTCAGTCGGGGGACTGTTGTCGGAAATATTGCAAGAGATCTCAATCTTAATGTCCAGGAGCTTGAATCTCAAATGTTTCAGATCGTTGCCGGATCAAAGACAAAGTATTTCGAGGTAAATCTAAAGACTGGTGCGCTCTTTGTTAACGAGAGGATAGATCGGGAGGAGCTCTGCAGCGACGAGGCCAAATGTTCACTTAACGTAGAAGCTGTAATTAATAATCCTCTAAAGCTTTACAGATTTGAAATTGCAATATCAGATGTTAATGATAACTCTCCAGCATTCACCAGTACGGTCCAGTCAATGAATATTAGCGAGAACACAGCAGCAGGAACGAAATTCCCCCTGAATGCTGCGGAGGATTTAGACGTGGGTAAAAATGCTGTTAATGCCTACAAGCTCAGTCAAAATGAACATTTCTCTCTGATCACTCACAAAGGAGAGATTATAACACCGGAACTGGTTCTTCAGAGAGTTTTGGACAGAGAGAAACAGTCTGTGGTTCAACTCATACTGACTGCTGTTGATGGGGGAACACCAGCTAAGTCTGGCTCTATGACCATATTAGTGAATGTGCTGGATATTAATGACAATGCACCGCTCTTTAGTCAGACTCTGTACAAAACAAAAATATATGAGAATGTAAAAATAGGCACATCGATAATTACTTTGAATGCTACTGATTTAGATGAGGGACAAAATGGAAATGTGTTTTATTCATTTAGTAAAATGGGTAGTGGGAAACAGACTGATCTCTTTGCAATAGATAAAATAACAGGGACAGTAACCAATAAAGGAAATATTGATTTTGAGGAAAATAATGTTTTTGAGATTCGAGTTCAGGCCAGTGATGGAGCTTCCTCTCCTCTCACCTCACATGCTAAATTACTGATTGAAGTCTTAGACATGAATGACAATGCTCCTGAGATCTCAGTCACATCTCTGGTAAACTCAGTGAAAGAAGATGCATCTATTGGCACTGCTGTTGCTCTCATTTCAGTATTTGATAAAGACAGTGGTAAAAATGGCATGGTCAACTGTAAAATGTCTAATCATGTTCCATTTAAGCTAGATTTGAATTATAGGAATTATTATTCATTAGTTGTGGACGGTCCTCTGGACAGGGAAACATCATCTCAGTATAATATCAGCATCACTGCTACAGATGAGGGCAGCCCCTCTCTCTTCAGCACCAGTGTCATTCATGTCCAGGTCTCTGATGTAAATGACAACAAACCTGTTTTTACAGAAAACATCATAAATATTTTTATTAAAGAAAATGATCCAACAGGAGCAGTAATTAAAACAGTGTCAGCAGAGGATGCAGACACTGACCAGAATGGTCAGATTAGTTATTCACTTTTACATGAGAACAGAAACCTGCTGTCATCAATTATAAACATCAACTCAGAGACTGGAGACATCATCAGCCTGCAGTCTTTTAACTACGAGGAGCTAAAAACATTTCATTTTAAAGTTCAGGCCACAGACTCTGGTGTTCCTCCACTCAGCAGCAACGTGACTGTTAACGTTTTAATCCTGGATGAAAATGACAACAATCCAACAATTCTGGCTCCTTATTCTGAGCTGGGTTCTGTTAACAGTGAGACCATCCCCTATTCTGCTGAAGCAGGGTACTTTGTAGCAAAGATCAGGGCTGTGGACGCAGATTCTGGATACAATGCGCTGCTTTCTTATCACCTGACGGAGCCCAAAGGAAGCAACCTGTTCAGGATCGGAACCAGCACCGGGGAGATCAGGACAAAGAGGAGGATGAGCGACAACGACCTGAAGAGTCACCCCTTGGTGGTGCTGGTTTCTGATAACGGAGAGCCTTCTCTGTCAGCTACTGTGTCTATTGATGTGGTGGTGGTTGAAAGCACAGCTGACATCCAGACTCAGTTCAGAAACGTGCCTCTAAAGGAGGACAGCTTCTCGGATCTGAACCTGTATCTGCTGATCGCCATCGTGTCGGTGTCGGTCATCTTTCTGCTGAGTCTGATCAGTCTAATAGCTGTCAGATGCCACAGGACAGACGGTGGTTTCAGCAGGTACAGCGCCCCGATGATCACCACCCACCCTGACGGGAGCTGGTCTTACTCTAAAGCTACTCAGCAGTATGACGTGTGTTTCAGCTCAGACACACTGAAGAGTGACGTAGTGGTTTTCCCCGCCCCTTTCCCGCCTGTAGATGCTGAACTGATCAGTATTAATGGAGGAGACACTTTTACCAGAACTCAGACCTTACCTAGCAAAGACAAGGTAAGAACATTTTTTGTACCTGGAAAAAAATAAAAAGTCAACAGTACACTGTGTTAATTCAGTAATATCAATTTTTATTGAAACTCAAGGTCGGTACATAAAGAAATGTTTCCATTTTTGCAACCTTCTCCATCTAGAATTCAACCATATTATAATCATTCATTTTCTTACCTAATAATCATCATTTTTGTATCATACGTTTTTTTCAGTTAATACAATTATCTTTTACTCCTTTCTGACTTTTATTTAGACCACACTATCCTTGTGAGCACCATTGGTCAATCCATCTTCTCTGAGATTAAACAGCATTTGTAATTTTTTATGAAATCAAAATTGTTTGACATCACATTTAATCTGTAGAAAGTTTTAACTGGATATACAATTATCTTTTACTCCTTTCTGACTTTTATTTAGACCACACTATCCTTGTGAGCACCATTGGTCAATCCATCTTCTCTGAGATTAAACAGCATTTGTAATTTTTTATGAAATCAAAATTGTTTGACATCACATTTAATCTGTAGAAAGTTTTAACTGGATGGTGCATCATGTGGTCTTTTTATTGCCTTGCTTATTGCACATGTTGGAAATCTATAACTTTTTTAAAACATGTTGCCTTGGCTTGCTGCACACAGATGATATCTGTTTTAAACTCCTGAACGATCTTCTTTAATCCAAGCATATGCAATCTTTTTACTTTTAATATTTTTGATTTTTGTTTCAATATGATAGTCTCAATGTTTATATACAGTCTCCCTCATTCCCACCTCCAAACTGTTCAGTATTTGAAGCTCACCTGTTTCATACTCATACTACATGCTGTTGATAATAAAACATGACTGTATCTGTAGATTACATACATATACTTAGATAATAAAATAACTGGAAATGAAGAGGAAGAGAGATCAACGTCTTCTAGTTTTCTTTTAGCTTCTGTTGTAATATAGAATCATACCAAACGAGGGCGCTGTAGACCATGACACACTGATTGGATTTCTGCGACCATACCCTCAGAAAACGTGATGATGTGTATTAAGCTGTGACACAAAGAGACGCAGACGCACAGAGAAAACAACATAGGACATGAGCCACACCGTGGATGATTTCGAAGGAGAGGAAGGACACTTGCTGGGATTTTTATCTTGTTTTTAATCCAGTCCGATCATGTCTTCAGCTCAAAACAAGAACATGTTGGAATTTATCTCATTTTTATTGTTCGGCTTTTGCTGGACAGTTGTCTCCGCCCAGCTCTCATACTCCACATCAGAGGAGGTAAATCCGGGGACCGCTGTGGGAAATATCGCCAAAGATTTAAACATCCCCGTGCACGAGCTGGAATCTCGTCAGTTTCAAATGGTGACAGGTGCAAAGAGGAAACATTTCGATGTGAATCTAAAAACCGGTGTTCTCTTTGTAAGTGAAAGGATCGACAGAGAGGAGCTCTGTGCAAAAGCAGCTAAATGCGCAGTGAGTGTGGAAGCGGTGATAAACGCTCCGTTAAAGCTTTACCGTCTGGATGTAAATATTTTAGATGTTAATGACAATTATCCAGCTTTCACCACTAAATCTCAAAACATCGAAATAGCAGAAAGCACACTACCAGGGACTAAATTTCTTGTGTTATCCGCTTATGACGCTGATGTAGGAAAAAACGATATCAGCTCTTACAAGCTGAGTACAAATGATCATTTTTCTTTGTCGGTGAACAAAGGAGAACGGGTGTCAGCTGAGCTGGTCCTTCAGAAGCCGTTAGACCGAGAGAAGCAGCCTGTCATTAGACTCACGCTCACTGCTGTTGATGGAGGGACGCCTCCTAAGTCCGGAACGTCACAGCTTATTATAAATGTTTTAGATGTGAACGACAACGTGCCGATATTTGATAAACCTTTGTATAAAACAAGCCTGATAGAAAACGCGCCGCTTGGTGCCACTGTAATAACGGTCTCTGCAACAGATAACGACCAAGGCCCTAACGCAGAGATCTCCTACTCACTCAGTAGCAAAGATCAAGATGAGGTTCTGGACATATTTCACATTGATCAGCAGACGGGATTACTGACAGTTAAAGGAAACGTTAATTTTGAAGAACACCCTGCTTTTGAAATCCGCGTTCAGGCCACTGATAAAGGCTATCCTCCGATGACGTCACAGTGCAAGGTGCTGATAGAAGTAGTGGATTTAAATGACAACACTCCTGAGATATCCGTGACTACACTTGTTAACACCGTGAGAGAAGACGCAAAGGCGGGCACCGCCATCGCGCTTGTGTCGGTTCAAGATAAGGACGGAGGAAAAAACGGAGAAGTTCACTGTCAGATTAAAAATGAAAGTCCGTTCAAATTAGAAACAAATTACAGGAATTATTACTCATTGGTGGTGGATGGGGAGTTGGACAGAGAGACGAATTCTTATTATAATGTCACCATTTTTGCGACGGATGGAGGAACTCCTTCTCTCACCAGCACAAAGGATTTTACTGTTTATATTTCTGATGTAAACGACAACTTCCCGCGCTTTTCAGCCTCTGTCATTAATGTTTATTTGAAGGAGAACACCCCTGTTGGAACTGTTTTAACAACGTTCACAGCGACAGATGCTGACACTGATCAGAATGCGCAGTTCAGGTATTCGGTTATAGAAAGTAACTCTGCACCTCTTTCAGCAATGGTGAACATCAACTCAGAGACTGGAGAAATATTCACCCTGCAGTCTTTTAACTATGAGGAGCTGAAAACATTTCAGTTTAAAGTTCAGGCCACAGACTCTGGTGTTCCTCCACTCAGCAGCAACGTGACTGTTAACGTTTTAATCCTGGATGAAAATGACAACAATCCAACAATTCTGGCTCCTTATTCTGAGCTGGGTTCTGTTAACAGTGAGACCATCCCCTATTCTGCTGAAGCAGGATACTTTGTAGCAAAGATCAGGGCTGTGGACGCAGATTCTGGATACAATGCGCTGCTTTCTTATCACCTGACGGAGCCCAAAGGAAACAACCTGTTCAGGATCGGAACCAGCACCGGGGAGATCAGGACTAAGAGGAGGATGAGCGACAACGACCTGAAGAGTCACCCCTTGGTGGTGCTGGTTTCTGATAACGGAGAGCCTTCTCTGTCAGCTACTGTGTCTATTGATGTGGTGGTGGTTGAAAGCACAGCTGACATCCAGACTCAGTTCAGAAACGTGCCTCTAAAGGAGGACAGCTTCTCGGATCTGAACCTGTATCTGCTGATCGCCATCGTGTCGGTGTCGGTCGTCTTTCTGCTGAGTCTGATCAGTCTAATAGCTGTCAGATGCCACAGGACAGACGGTGGTTTCAGCAGGTACAGCGCCCCGATGATCACCACCCACCCTGACGGGAGCTGGTCTTACTCTAAAGCTACTCAGCAGTATGACGTGTGTTTCAGCTCAGACACACTGAAGAGTGACGTAGTGGTTTTCCCCGCCCCGTTCCCGCCTGTAGATGCTGAACTGATCAGTATTAATGGAGGAGACACTTTTACCAGAACTCAGACCTTACCTAACAAAGACAAGGTGAGAACAAGTTTCTGTTTTGATTCAATAGTATAAACTTGGATCATAATATATATCGCAGATTTTTTTTAAATGTATGTATTTCTATGCGGTGAATGATGTTGTGTCTTCGAAAATGTTCAAAGCTGCTCAAGTCAGTTTGAATGTGATCAGAATATTTATCCTGTTGATGTTAGGTATACTTGAAGCTTCGTCTTATACATGATTTTTCTAAAAGTTTATTGCTCAACTTGAAGTCCAGCGTTCTTCATTCCGTTTGATTTTTTTTCTTTCAGTTGCTCATTGTTGCGGTTGCCCAAATCATTGTGTTGGAACGGAACCTTAATTACCTAAATATTGTTAACATTTTCGTGTGTGTGTGTGTGTGTGTGTGTGTGTGTGTGTGTGTGTGTGTGTGTGTGTGTGTGTGTGCGCGTGTGTGCGTGTGCGTGTGCGTGTGTGTGTGTGTTTGTGTGTGTGTGGTGGGATATAAATTAATGTTCATTTGTTTAAAATACGTATCAGAAAATGAAGAAGAAATACGTCTAAGCACAGGCAAATAGGAGGGGGGAATTCAGTGGTTTTAACTAATCAGCCCTAAAGAAATTTCCTAGCTGCAGATAATTTCTGGTGGGAAAAAAACAAGTTAACAAATCCGAAAATATTCAACAGAAAAAAAATTGTCGTCAGCATGCTTCATTTAAAAAAATAATAAAATAAGCAATGTTATGCTTAAGCGTGCCTCTGTCCTTGGTGCTTAAAACTAGTTGCTTAGGGTGTGAGAATGTGTTGTTTTACTGGTTTCTTTGGTCTCTTTTTTTAACGTTGTGTTCGTTGTAACATGATATCCTTCCACAGGTAAAATGGGTAAACAATATGTAGACATGTTTTTCTTCTAAATAATAATAATAATAATAACAATATTATTATTATTATTATTATTATTATTATTTAGTTGAAATATTAAGAAATAGTTAATTCGTAAATTTTCCCAGTGATTCGATACTTGTTTGTTTGATTGATTGTTTGTTTGTTAGTTTGTTTGAATGCTTGGATGTTGCTTTTTCTCCTATAAGTTGGCATCTTTTTTATGTTTACATATGTGTTTATATGTTTGAGTGAAAAAGTCAAATCAATTTTTCACACATTTTTTTTCCCTGTTGTAGTTTTGTGTTATGACCACACAGGGACATTATAGACCGTCACATATTTTCATCCATTTTAGTTTGTCACGGCTCCTCCCAGATTTAGGGAACCATGATCCTCCTTAGACATTTCAAACAAAGAGAATGAGAGGTGGGAAGAAAACGATGTAAGCAGGATTTGGACACGGGACTTTTACCATTATCTAACATTTTGAACTGGATTTAGGCTGTAACTGCGTTGATGACATTTACAAACGGATTGGCCTCAGTAGAAACATGCCTTTGCCGGGAAGATCAAGCTCCGTGTTGCCATGCCTCGTCTTTGTGCTGCAGTTTTTTTATGGGAAAGCGGTTTCAGGACAGCTGTCTTACTCCGTGTCCGAGGAGGTGAATACCGGGACGATTGTTGGGAATATTGCAAAAGATCTCAACTTAAATATCCTGGATTTGGAGTCACGCATGTTTCAGATCGTTGCTGGATCAAAGAGAAAATATCTGGAGGTAAATCTAAAGACCGGTACTCTCTTTGTTAATGAGAGAATAGATCGAGAGGAGCTCTGTGGTGATGAAGCCAAATGCTCACTCACTATTGAAGCCGTTATTAACAATCCACTAAAATTATACCGAATTGAAATAGTAATTTCAGATGTAAATGACAACTCTCCGACATTCATTAGCCCATCACAAGTAATCAACATCAGTGAAAACGCAGCAGTGGGAACGAAATACCCTTTGCACCATGCCAGTGATAAAGACGTTGGAAAGAATTCAGTGACCACATACAAGCTTAGTCAAAATGAACACTTTTCTATGTCGACACACAAAGGAGGGAGTGTGACACCAGAACTGCTGCTTCTTAAAGCTCTAGACAGGGAAAAGCAGGCCCTTATTCAGCTCACATTGACTGCAATAGATGGAGGAACACCAGCTATGTCAGGATCTATGAATATATTAGTAAATGTTTTGGACAATAATGATAATGCACCTGCTTTTAGTCAAACGCTTTATAAAGCCAAAGTGCAAGAGAATGTTAAACTGGGAACAATGGTGATAATATTAAATGCAACAGATTTAGACAGTGGCCTTAATGGACAGATATCATACTCATTTAGTGAAGTGGGCCGTGGAAAAGAAACTGACGTTTTCGCTATTGATAGCAAAACTGGGAAAGTAACCAATAAAAGAAATATTGACTTTGAGGAAAATAATGTTTTTGAGATTCGAGTTCAGGCCAGTGATGGAGCTTCCTCTCCTCTCACCTCACATGCTAAATTACTGATAGAAGTCTTAGACATGAATGACAATGCTCCTGAGATCTCAGTCACATCTCTGGTAAACTCAGTGAAAGAAGATGCATCTGTTGGCACTGCTGTTGCTCTCATTTCAGTATTTGATAAAGACAGTGGTAAAAATGGCATGGTCAACTGTAAAATAACTAATCATGTTCCATTTAAGCTAGATTTGAATTATAAGAATTATTATTCATTAGTTGTGGACGGTCCTCTGGACAGGGAAACATCATCTCAGTATAATATCAGCATCACTGCTACAGATGAGGGCAGCCCCCCTCTCTTCAGCACCAGTGTCATTCATGTCCAGGTCTCTGATGTAAATGACAACAAACCTGTTTTTACAGAAAACATCATAAATATTTTTATTAAAGAAAATGCTCCAACAGGAGCAGTAATTAAAACAGTGTCAGCAGAGGATGCAGACACTGACCAGAATGGTCAGATTAGTTATTCACTTTTACATGAGAACAGAAACCTGCTGTCATCAATTATAAACATCAACTCAGAGACTGGAGACATCATCAGCCTGCAGACTTTTAACTACGAGGAGCTAAAAACATTTCAGTTTAAAGTTCAGGCCACAGACTCTGGTGTTCCTCCACTCAGCAGCAACGTGACTGTTAACGTTTTAATCCTGGATGAAAATGACAACAATCCAACAATTCTGGCTCCTTATTCTGAGCTGGGTTCTGTTAACAGTGAGACCATCCCCTATTCTGCTGAAGCAGGGTACTTTGTAGCAAAGATCAGGGCTGTGGACGCAGATTCTGGATACAATGCGCTGCTTTCTTATCACCTGACGGAGCCCAAAGGAAACAACCTGTTCAGGATCGGAACCAGCACCGGGGAGATCAGGACTAAGAGGAGGATGAGCGACAACGACCTGAAGAGTCACCCCTTGGTGGTGCTGGTTTCTGATAACGGAGAGCCTTCTCTGTCAGCTACTGTGTCTATTGATGTGGTGGTGGTTGAAAGCACAGCTGACATCCAGACTCAGTTCAGAAACGTGCCTCTAAAGGAGGACAGCTTCTCGGATCTGAACCTGTATCTGCTGATCGCCATCGTGTCGGTGTCGGTCGTCTTTCTGCTGAGTCTGATCAGTCTAATAGCTGTCAGATGCCACAGGACAGACGGTGGTTTCAGCAGGTACAGCGCCCCGATGATCACCACCCACCCTGACGGGAGCTGGTCTTACTCTAAAGCTACTCAGCAGTATGACGTGTGTTTCAGCTCAGACACACTGAAGAGTGACGTAGTGGTTTTCCCCGCCCCGTTCCCGCCTGTAGATGCTGAACTGATCAGTATTAATGGAGGAGACACTTTTACCAGAACTCAGACCTTACCTAACAAAGACAAGGTAAGCTTGTGTTTAAATTTATTTGCTCCATCTGTGGTGGTCAAGTAATGCCTTTTAGAAATTTGATGGTTACACGGTTCTATTTGAAAATTAAAATACTAATAATAGTTTTAAATGTTTACTCGTTACTTTCTTAGATCATCAGCCTTTTTTATTGTGATAATTTGAACTACGATTTTGGACAGAGTTTTCAACGTCGCTGTCCACAGTGCTGATCCTTGGTGTTTGATGTGTATTATATCACACCTATTTTTTATCTTTTTTTATTTTTTTTTTTCAGATTTGCTTTACAAGTTTTCATGACACTACCTTTGTTCAGTTGTGTATGATAATACCGACTATTGTGTTGAAACAATATCCAATCTAAATAATCATTATTTGCATATAGAGAATTTAAAAATAGTTTCCAAAAGTAATTGTGCTATGCAGATACTTCCTCTACTTGCTTTTTTGAAACTGTAGTTTCTAACCATTTTCGTAAAATCTATTGTATTCACAACATGACAACTTATACTTTAAATTTTAATAAAATGTTTGACAATTTAAACCGTGGCATTTATTTAAATATATTTTACAGCATTTTCTAACACTAGATCTTTTCTTTTAATCTAAACGGTCTGTGGGTGATAATACACCTCCCGCTAAAGATACCTACATGCTGGTTTGGTGTTTTGTGTGATTTGCTTATCAATCAGCACGTTTTGAATTAGTAATATTTTTCTAACTGTTTGTAATTTTTACCTTTTACCACCAAGCGGCGATCTAGACCGTAACACCGAGAAGTTTAAAGCCCCTCCCGAGTAAAAGAGACAGGCTGTATTTTTCAGCACAAAGACAAGAGAAGACATAGAGCAGCATTATGGATTGCAGCTAAAGAGAAGCAACAATCGTCTCTAAGTTCAATCATCTTTGATCATTAGGATACACCTTCAAGAAGTTCATCCACGCTTTGTTTTTTATAACGAATTATGTTTTCATCTGATTTCTGGATGCTTGTTTTCACATTTATTGGGCCACTGCTGCTCATCTGTTTTTGTGACTCGGCGTTGGCGCAGGTCGCTTATTCTGTATCAGAGGAAGTAAAACCAGGAACTAATGTTGGAAATATCGCCAAGGACCTCAACCTTAACGTGCAGGATTTGGAGCCCCGCTTATTTCAAGTCGTTGAATCTAAACGGAAATACTTCGAGGTAAACCTGAAGACAGGTTTTCTCTTTGTCAAGGAGAGGATAGACCGAGAGGAGCTGTGCGCAGACGAACCTAAATGCACCGTTAGTGTGGAGGCAGTGATAAACAGCCCTTTAAAGCTGTACCGCGTAGAGATAGAAATTAAAGATGTGAACGATCATTCTCCGACTTTTAATGACAAATCACAGTCACTGGACGTAGCAGAAAACACATCACCTGGATCTAAATTTGCGTTGTCTGAAGCAAGCGATGCTGACATCGGTAAACATGGTGTCAGTGCCTATAAGCTGAGTCCAAATGAATATTTCAGTCTGGTAACACACAAAAGAGGGGACTGCATGTCTCCAGAGCTGGTGCTGCAGAGAGCTTTAGATCGGGAGACAAAGCCACATTTGACGCTGTTGTTAACTGCGTTGGACGGAGGGTCTCCACCAAACACAGGAACATCAGGAATTGAAATAAATGTCTTAGATATTAATGATAATGCTCCTATATTCAGCAGTAGTCTTTACAAAATAAAAGTGCATGAAAACATCCCGTTAGGAACAGACGTGTTCGTTCTAAATGCGACAGACGCCGATGAAGGAACAAACAGTGAAATTGTGTATTCTCTTAGGAGTAAAAATCAAGATCACGTTCTAGATATATTTCAAATTGACCCAAAAACTGGAATCATCTCCATCAAAGGTCAAGTTGACTACGAAGAAAGAAAAGCCTTTGAGATCAGAGCAGAGGCGAGAGACAAAGGGCAGCCTCCCATGACCGCTCACAGTAAAGTGCTGGTTGAGGTAGGTGACGTGAACGACAACGCTCCTGAAATCACCGTGACGTCACTTGTCAGTGCAGTGAATGAGGACGCATCTGTCGGCACTGCTGTAGCGCTTGTTTCAGTTCTGGACCGAGACAGCGGCAAAAACGGAGACGTAACATGCGAGATCGTAAACGCACTTCCGTTCAAACTTGAGAAAAATTACAAAAACTATTACTCGTTGATTGTTGACGGACATCTAGACAGAGAGGTGAAACCGCAGTATAATGTCATAATTTCAGCAACTGATAAAGGGAATCCTCCCCGTTCAAACATCAGTGTAATTACTGTTCACCTCTCCGATGTAAACGATAATGCGCCTTATTTCTCAGAACCAGAAATAAACGTTTATTTGAAAGAAAATAGTAAAATAGGGACCGTAATAATGGCGGTGACGGCGACTGATGCTGATGTCAATAACAACGGCCAAGTTACATATTCGTTTTTAAACATCCAAAACAAGCAATTGCCCATCAATGCGGTGTTTAACATCAACTCAGAGACTGGAGACATCATCAGCCTGCAGTCGTTTAACTATGAGGAGCTAAAAACATTTCAGTTTAAAGTTCAGGCCACAGACTCTGGTGTTCCTCCACTCAGCAGCAACGTGACTGTTAACGTTTTAATCCTGGATGAAAATGACAACAATCCAACAATTCTGGCTCCTTATTCTGAGCTGGGTTCTGTTAACAGTGAGACCATCCCCTATTCTGCTGAAGCAGGGTACTTTGTAGCAAAGATCAGGGCTGTGGACGCAGATTCTGGATACAATGCGCTGCTTTCTTATCACCTGACGGAGCCCAAAGGAAACAACCTGTTCAGGATCGGAACCAGCACCGGGGAGATCAGGACTAAGAGGAGGATGAGCGACAACGACCTGAAGAGTCACCCCTTGGTGGTGCTGGTTTCTGATAACGGAGAGCCTTCTCTGTCAGCTACTGTGTCTATTGATGTGGTGGTGGTTGAAAGCACAGCTGACATCCAGACTCAGTTCAGAAACGTGCCTCTAAAGGAGGACAGCTTCTCGGATCTGAACCTGTATCTGCTGATCGCCATCGTGTCGGTGTCGGTCATCTTTCTGCTGAGTCTGATCAGTCTAATAGCTGTCAGATGCCACAGGACAGACGGTGGTTTCAGCAGCTACAGCGCCCCGATGATCACCACCCACCCTGACGGGAGCTGGTCTTACTCTAAAGCTACTCAGCAGTATGACGTGTGTTTCAGCTCAGACACACTGAAGAGTGACGTAGTGGTTTTCCCCGCCCCGTTCCCGCCTGTAGATGCTGAACTGATCAGAATTAATGGAGGAGACACTTTTACCAGAACTCAGACCTTACCTAACAAAGACAAGGTGAGACGTGCCCTTCTGTATGTTAATTAGTGAAGCATGCACTGATATTGGTCTGTAAATGTAATGTCTGAATAATTTTAAGTTGGTGCAGATTCCAAAATGAGTGTTAATATTAAATTAAAAGGTTTTAGATTTTAAAGATTATTCTCAGCTACTTTATTTCCTATTGCTAAATATATAAAAATACACAGATAGTGTTTTATTTTTCAACAAACATTTTCCCACGTTTTTCAACATTTGCTCTGAATTTCGAGTACACTTGTAATCTATTTTTTCCACGTGTAAAAAGCTTCTTATCTACGATTATCAATTAAATGGGTTCACACGAGTTTAAAATAATATTTAATGTAGCAAGTAAAAACACACTGCCATCGACCAGTGCGCTGTCCACGGTGCTGAAATGTTTTTGAGTTCTGCTTAAATAGTTAAGATTGTGGTGTTCTTATCTTTTACACCGTGGAGTAAATGTGTTGTTTGTGCATTTGCACTTTACAGCAAAAATAGAAAAAGCTTTATTATTATTATTATTATTATTATTATTATTATTATTATTATTATTATTATTATTATTATTATTATTATTATTATTATTATTATTATTATATTTTTTATTTTTTATATTATTATTATTATTATTATTATTATTATTATTATTATTATTACCCTTTTTACAGTAATAGGGAAAAATAATGCAATTCAAAGAACCTGCGATGATTCTGCCACACTTTTTTGTCACAGCTTTGCGTCTGTTGGGCATTTTTCCACTATATTTTATTTTCTGTTGTACGTTATTTACTGTTGATTTGTAGAACCGTCACGAGATGTCGCTCGAGACCGTTCAACAGTCCAATTTTAACGACTTAGAGACCCCTCCTAAACACATGACAAAATGCTGAAACGTCATCATCTGGTATGCCTTTGTGGAAACAGCTCGCAGACGAATGAAGCCCAACACGAGTGAGGAGCCTCTACAGAACATGAGCATCAGACTGTTTGATATCCCTGCGAGGACAAGAAAAGAGGAATAGCTCTTCCGTTTCCTTTTTGTGTGAATAGCGATGGCTGCGCGGACACAATGGGATAATATTAGAATATTCTTGCTCGCTCTTCTTTGTCTCTCTGACTGGTCCATGGCTCAGATATCTTACACCATTTCAGAGGAGGTGGACAAAGGCACTGCGGTGGGAAATCTCGCTAAGGATTTAAATCTCAGTGTGCAGCAGCTCCAGTCCACGGGTCTACAGATCACATCTGGGTACATAAAACGGTATTTCGACATCAGTCATGAGTCAGGAGCTCTTTTTGTTAGTGACAGGATTGATCGGGAGGAGCTTTGTCCTAATATGGTCAAGTGCTCTTTAAACATCGAGGCCATACTGAGTAACCCTCGCAGCCTCCATCGAATTGAAATTTTGATAAATGACATTAATGATAACGTCCCTTCTTTTCATGAAGAAATTATTACAATTGATATGTCTGAATCTTCACACGTTGGGGAAAGGCATCCACTGCCAGTGGCCCACGACGCAGATGCGGGCATTAATTCAGTAAAGACGTACAAGCTAAACACAAATGAATATTTTACTTTAGATATACAGAGCGCGGGCGACCGGAGCGTGTCTGCTGAGTTAGTGCTGCAGAAAACACTAGACAGAGAGAAAGAGGCTGTTATTGAACTCACTCTCACTGCATTTGACGGAGGAAAACCACCTAAAACCGGAACGTTACAAATACATATACACGTCCTGGATGTCAATGATAATCCTCCTGTATTCAGCAAAACTCTGTACAAAGTCCAGGTGATAGAAAACCCGAATGTTGGCGCTTTGTTACTCACGCTCAGTGCGACCGATTTAGACGAAGGTGTTAATAGTCAGATCGTTTACTCGTTTACAGAGAGAGCGCGACTGAGCTTAGAAGATAAGTTTGCAATAAATAACAACACGGGAGAAATCACAGTTAAGGGTAAAATTGATTATGAGGAAAACCAGGCTTATGAAATCCGTGTTCAAGCGCGAGACAAAGGCACTCCTCCACGCAGCGCGCACAGCAAGGTTTTAGTGGAAGTTGTTGATGTGAATGACAACGCTCCAGTAATCACAGTGTCATCACTCATGAGTCCAGTTAAAGAAGACGCGGAAATAGGCACCGCCGTTGCTATGGTGACGATCACCGACAAAGATGGAGGAAGAAATGGACTGACTAAATGCGGGGTGTTAGACACCGGTCCGTTTAAATTAAAATCTAACTACGAAAATTACTATTCATTGTTGGTTGATGGGAGTCTTGACAGGGAAGCTATATCCATGTATAATATATCAATCGAAGCGACGGATGAAGGAACACCTGCTCTGTCCAGCACTGCAGTAGTTACTATCCAGGTTTCTGACGTAAATGACAATGCTCCTCGGTTTCCCGATGCGCACATTAACGTTTTTGTTAAGGAAAATATCCCAACTGGAACTACAATTTACAGACTCACCACGGAGGATTTGGATTTAAACGAAAACGCTAAATCTGCGTATCAGTTGATTAAAGGCACTTCTCAAAGAGCACAGAATGCCGCATTAGTAAATATCAACTCAGAGACTGGAGACATCATCAGCCTGCAGACTTTTAACTACGAGGAGCTAAAAACATTTCAGTTTAAAGTTCAGGCCACAGACTCTGGTGTTCCTCCACTCAGCAGCAACGTAACTGTTAACGTTTTAATCCTGGATGAAAATGACAACAATCCAACAATTCTGGCTCCTTATTCTGAGCTGGGTTCTGTTAACAGTGAGACCATCCCCTATTCTGCTGAAGCAGGGTACTTTGTAGCAAAGATCAGGGCTGTGGACGCAGATTCTGGATACAATGCGCTGCTTTCTTATCACCTGACGGAGCCCAAAGGAAACAACCTGTTCAGGATCGGAACCAGCACCGGGGAGATCAGGACTAAGAGGAGGATGAGCGACAACGACCTGAAGAGTCACCCCTTGGTGGTGCTGGTTTCTGATAACGGAGAGCCTTCTCTGTCAGCTACTGTGTCTATTGATGTGGTGGTGGTTGAAAGCACAGCTGACATCCAGACTCAGTTCAGAAACGTGCCTCTAAAGGAGGACAGCTTCTCGGATCTGAACGTGTATCTGCTGATCGCCATCGTGTCGGTGTCGTTCGTCTTTCTGCTGAGTCTGATCAGTCTAATAGCTGTCAGATGCCACAGGACAGACGGTGGTTTCAGCAGGTACAGCGCCCCGATGATCACCACCCACCCTGACGGGAGCTGGTCTTACTCTAAAGCTACTCAGCAGTATGACGTGTGTTTCAGCTCAGACACACTGAAGAGTGACGTAGTGGTTTTCCCCGCCCCGTTCCCGCCTGTAGATGCTGAACTGATCAGTATTAATGGAGGAGACACTTTTACCAGAACTCAGACCTTACCTAACAAAGACAAGGTAAGACCTGACCTTCTTGTGACTTTAGCAATGAAGCAATTTAGTCGTAATTAATATAGTAAATATATTATCTCATTGCCAGATATTTGGTTGAGATTTTACACACGTGTTCAAATTACGTGCAAGTTTTTATTTTTATTTACTTATTCATTTATGTATTTTTATTCACGAAAGAAGCTATTTTGGAAAGCATACTTTCAAATAATCATTTAGTCTCATAAAATATTCCTAAGTTTTTTGTTAAGAAACCAAACACTGTTTAATCAATGCTATATTGTGTTTCTAAATACCTTGCAGACGTCCAAGCATTGTATCCTATTATCTACGGTTTTAAAATAAAATCGGGTTTCTGATCAAAACAATCAGAGAAAAAGATTTGCATACATTTTAATTAATGCACTGTCCATGGTGCTTACATTTTATCGTGTCCTTTCTGTGTGATTTAAGACTGTGGTGTTCGTTATGAAATAGATTTTAGTGTTTTCACACTCTAAATTCAAATATATCAATGTATTATTATTATTATTATTATTATTATTATTATTGATTTGTAAAAGGGAAATAAATAATAATCCAAGACTAATTTATTCATGTATTGATGGCAAACATTTACATTATGTTATAAATCTAATTAGAAATACTCCGGAAGATGCTAAACTATGATAACAGCATCACTTGATGAATGTGTTGCGATCATTTTGGTCCTCTTTTTAATTTGACATTTTGCTTTTACTTGTACAAGGCATAAAACTCTGTCCGTGGTTCTGAAATCTATCAGGATTGTTTTAAAGCAAATTAAGATGTAACCCAAAATGTCAGACACCGTTTTTTTCTTTTGACTGTTTGTCACGCCTTTAAACATGTTCGTACTTTAAATCTTTTATTTATGCACAGAAATGCACACTTACTCAGAACTAGTCAATAGGTGAGGAAATTGGAACAAACACAGTTTATAAAAGGGGAAAACATGCATTTCCTTTTTTATTTTATTTTACATCAGTTATTTTTTTGTTTATTTAATATGCGTGATGTGTTTATCAAACATGTTAATTGCTTGAGGTGAGTCTCGATATTTTGCGTACAGTTTTCTGGAGTTCTAACTGAACGGTTCCGGTGAAATATTGTTAAATTCTGGGTGTGAGCAGTCACCACTAATGACAGCTGTCCATCTAATCAATTAACAGGAACAACGAGCTTGTACATTTACAGTGATCCTCTATTCAGTAATTCTGTTTCTGTCGCTGACCAAAGCCAAATGCTAAAAGACTTATAGAGGATGGACTGATTTATGTTCATATAGAAGTGTACTTAAGTTTAAACTTGTTTAGAAATATTACAATGATTCGTTTTGTTCCTATATCACAGAAACTCCGCTTCTGCTTTACCCACACATAATTTTTCACTGTTAATATGGTGCAGTTACTATAAGTGTCCATTAGGAGACAGTCTAGACCGTGACACCAACCATAGGTCCTCAGTGTGTGGAGACCCCTCCTACGCTGAAAACGTCACAATTTTTCTTCGGGCTTTGTTAGACGGAGACGCAGCGCGAGGTGGAATGGATAATCACCGATCCTGAAGTATTCGGTTTAGATGTATTTGTTCATGTTATTCTAAATTGTTCGTCTTGAATTCACGGATCTATGATTGATCTTTGTTAAACGGAACTATGTTTTTTCTTGGAAGAACGACTTCTTTGAGGATTTATCTGCTGCTTTTTGCGTTGGAGTATAATTGTGGTGCCGTTTCCGGGCAGCTCTCTTATTCTGTGCAAGAGGAGGTAAACCTGGGGACTTCGGTTGGCAACCTGGCCAAAGATCTGAACCTGAGTTTGCAGGACTTGGAGTCACGCATGTTTCAGATAGTAGCTGGAGCAAAGAAAAAGTATTTTGATGTTAATTTGAAGTCGGGATTTCTCTTGGTGGTTGAGAAAATAGACAGAGAAGAGCTGTGTGCCAAAGCTACAAAATGCACAATGAACGTCGAGGCTGTAATTAACAAACCACTTAAACTTTATCGGATTGAGATTAATATTCTGGACGTTAATGATAACCCGCCGGCTTTTAAGACAAAATCACAAACCATAAACATGGCAGAGAGCATTTTACCAGGGGTTACATTCCCCGTGCTTTCTGCGTACGATAGTGATGTGGGGAAAAATGACATTAGCACATATAAACTCAAGCCTAACGAGTACTTTACACTGACGGTACATAAAGGTGAGAGTGTGTCGGCTGAGTTAATTCTGCAAAAATCATTAGACCGTGAAAAGCAAGCTTTGATTAAACTCACCCTTACTGCTTTAGATGGAGGAACACCGGCTAAATCTGGCACGTCAGAGATCATAATTCACGTCTTAGATATCAATGATAACATCCCAGCTTTCACAAAGACGTTGTACAAAGCAAGCATCACAGAAAGTGCAGCACTTGGAACAACGCTACTGACGGTGTCTGCAGCTGACGCGGATGATGGATTAAACAAAGAAATTGTGTATTCATTAAATTCAAAGGATCAGGATCACGTACTGCAAATGTTCGAAATTGATTCTGAAACAGGAACAATTAGAGTTAAAGGAAACATTGACTTTGAACTTAACCCAGCTTTTGAAATTCGTGTACAGGCCACGGACAGAGGCCAGCCTCCCTTGACAGCACAGTGCAAGGTGCTGGTGGAGGTGGTGGATGTTAATGATAACGCGCCTGACATCACTGTGACGTCACTGTTCAGCAGTGTAAGAGAGGACGCGGAAATTGGGACAGCAGTTGCACTTGTTTCAGTTCTGGACCGGGACGGGGGTAAAAATGGAGAAGTTAAATGTGACATTTCGAGTCTACTTCCTTTTAAATTGGAAACAAATTACAAAAATTATTATTCTTTGGTAATTAGTGATGGGCTGGATAGAGAGCTGATTCAACAGTACAACATTACTGTCATAGCAACAGATGCAGGCAGCCCTCCTCTCTCTAACACAAGTGTAATCACAGTTCAGGTTTCTGATGTGAATGATAATGCGCCCATGTTTTCTGAGACGGAAATTAATGTGTATGTGAAAGAAAACAGTCCAGTTGGGACACTTTTGAAAACAATACATTCAACTGATGCTGACGCTGATGGTAATGGTCGAGTGGTTTATTCAATATTCAGTAATAATAATTTAGTCCCAATCTCGTCAGTAATAAACATCAACTCAGAGACTGGAGACATCATCAGCCTGCAGTCTTTTAACTACGAGGAGCTAAAAACATTTCAGTTTAAAGTTCAGGCCACAGACTCTGGTGTTCCTCCACTCAGCAGCAACGTGACTGTTAACGTTTTAATCCTGGATGAAAATGACAACAATCCAACAATTCTGGCTCCTTATTCTGAGCTGGGTTCTGTTAACAGTGAGACCATCCCCTATTCTGCTGAAGCAGGATACTTTGTAGCAAAGATCAGGGCTGTGGACGCAGATTCTGGATACAATGCGCTGCTTTCTTATCACCTGACGGAGCCCAAAGGAAACAACCTGTTCAGGATCGGAACCAGCACCGGGGAGATCAGGACTAAGAGGAGGATGAGCGACAACGACCTGAAGAGTCACCCCTTGGTGGTGCTGGTTTCTGATAACGGAGAGCCTTCTCTGTCAGCTACTGTGTCTATTGATGTGGTGGTGGTTGAAAGCACAGCTGACATCCAGACTCAGTTCAGAAACGTGCCTCTAAAGGAGGACAGCTTCTCGGATCTGAACCTGTATCTGCTGATCGCCATCGTGTCGGTGTCGGTCGTCTTTCTGCTGAGTCTGATCAGTCTAATAGCTGTCAGATGCCACAGGACAGACGGTGGTTTCAGCAGGTACAGCGCCCCGATGATCACCACCCACCCTGACGGGAGCTGGTCTTACTCTAAAGCTACTCAGCAGTATGACGTGTGTTTCAGCTCAGACACACTGAAGAGTGACGTAGTGGTTTTCCCCGCCCCGTTCCCGCCTGTAGATGCTGAACTGATCAGTATTAATGGAGGAGACACTTTTACCAGAACTCAGACCTTACCTAACAAAGACAAGGTAAGCTGTCTGAGATTTACTATTTGAATTTTTGTAATTTTCACAATTATTTTGAAATATAGTCCTGTCCTTGTGGATGTTTAGTCCTCCCTAGAGTGAATTTAATATCTAGCCGATTGTATTAAATGTTTACCTTAATATGAGAACAGAAATGTGTTAAGTGTTTCTCAATCTAAGTGGCAGTTAGTGTTTGTCTTCAACCTAAGTCCAAATAAAACCTATTTGATTGAAGCTGTTTAGACTATGAACATTGAGCTTTCCAGTTTCGGTCATCTAAACCGTTTTGAAGTATTTTCACAAACCGTCTTCTTTCATCCAGTCTCTAAAACACGACGGCAATTTCCGGTTTTACAATACGAAAAACAAACAAATCAATTGTTTACACATAATGCTGTGACATGTATGTTTTGTCTGTAATTAACATGAAGGACCAACATTTGTTCATTTACTTTAAGATAACCGTGCATTTAAGTTTTTGTCAAATCAAAGTCATGTTATGCAAGTCTTCTCAAGTTTCTTTTATATGCACACAAGCATGATGCCATTTTTTGAATAAGTTAAGATCCTGTGAGATAGCAAACAAAAGATCTGTGAGTTTAAGCATGTTTTAAGAAAAAAGTAGGCAGCAACATAAATGTTTCTCAAATGTTAGTGGCGCTGTCCGAGGTACTGAAGTAAAACAGGGCCACATAACGTAGTTTTCCCCCCTCTCTTAATCAATTGTCCGTATTCCTCTAAGACTGAAAAAAATTGTAGCCATTTTAAACACTCCTGGTTATTCAGAAATAGTTGGTTTTAAAAAGTAAATCTAAATCAACATATTATTGGACAAATAATATTAATTTGAAAAGTATTTACAAATAATTCAATAAAAATGTGGATTTTTGTTTAAAATTATATGGTAACTGAATGACTAATAATATTAGCTCCAGGTTAACAGAAATAAAATGATAAAACGTGATAGTCAACATTCTCAAGTGTGACACTAAATCCGATTAGGTTAAAATATTTTCCTTTATTTATTTTTTATTTATTTATTTATTTATTTATTTATTTATTTATTTATTTATTTATGTATTTATTTATTTATTAGTTTCATTTTATCAACTATACTTTTTAACAAAATGTAATTTGGTAGCAATGCTTCTAGATTGTTCTAACTTCTTACCCACGTTAGTAATTTTGGGTAAATATGCTATTGAAGAAATCACGCATTCTTAATGGGGCACTGAAGTAATTTTTATTTAATTCACCAATTATTTCTCATCTTCCTGAAATGATAGCATTTGAATTGAAAGGCAGCTATAAGATTAAATGCTTTCAACATTATTCTCCCACTAGATGTCACACGAGACCTTTAGTATAATTTAGTTATGACATCTACAACTCCTCCTCCATACATGGTGAACGGGATAACCCGTCATCGAGCATCATTATAACTTGGAACCTCGATAATACGTGCTCGGAGGAAAATAGGCTCATAACGGAACGGTTTTCCTGCATAAAACCTTAGTTTTGTAGATTGATGACCCACTGGATTACGGTTGTTTTTCCGTGTCAACGATGTTGTGGGACGGAGCAAAAGGACGCACTTGGATTTATGCGGTTCTGCTGCTTTGGCTTTGTGACTGCTCTGCTTCCCAGTTAACCTATTCTGTTCCCGAGGAGGTGAACAAAGGGGCTGTTGTGGGAAATATTGCGAAGGATTTAAACCTCAACGTACACGATTTGGAGAACAGAGATTTGCGCATTGTTTCCAGTTTCAGTAAGACATATTTTGATGTGAATTTGCGCACGGGGAACCTCTTTGTCTCGGAGAGAATAGACAGGGAGGAGCTTTGTCCGCATGTTAACAAATGTTCCATCAAAATTCAAGCTGCTTTGAACAATCCTGTTAGTGTACACCGAATAGAAATCAGTATTCTTGACATAAATGACAACTCGCCTGCTTTTGTAGAACAGACGCACATTTTAAACATCTCGGAATCGCAGTCACCAGGAGAGAGATTTCCCCTCCCAGTGGCGCTGGACGCAGACACAGGAAGTAACGCAGTAACGAGCTACAAGCTAAACCAGAATGAATATTTCTCGCTTGATGTTCAGAGTGGAGAACACGGTGTGTCTGCAGAGCTGCTGCTGCAGAAAGCTTTAGACCGAGAGAAACAGTCTGTGATTAAGCTTGTTCTGACGGCGGTAGATGGAGGTAAACCACCGAGATCAGGGACTTTACAGCTGCTTGTTAATGTTTTAGACGTGAACGACAACACACCTGTGTTCAGCAACTCCCTTTATAAAGTGCAGGTTAAAGAAAATGCTGTTCCCGGATCGTTTGTTATTAAATTAAATGCAACAGATTTAGATGAAGGAATGAACGGCCAGATTCGATATTTGTTCATCAAGAGAGGAAATGTTGATTTATCAGATATTTTTCATCTAAATTCTGAAACAGGAGAAATATCAGTTAAAGGTGAATTAGATCATGAAGAAACGCGGGCTTATGAAATCAGAGTCCAGGCCAAAGATCAAGGCCCCGTCCCTCGTAGCACTCATGCTAAACTTTTGATAGAAGTAATAGATGTTAATGATAACGCTCCAGAAATATCTGTGACGTCACTAATGACTCCTGTGAGAGAAGACGCACAACTGGGTACAATCGTTGCATTAGTTACAGTCAGTGATAAGGATGGAGGGAACAACGGTGTCACTAAGTGCAGTGTTGTTGGGTCTGTTCCCTTTAAACTAAAATCAAATTATAAAAATGATTATTCGTTAGTAGTAGATGGACCATTGGACAGAGAAAACACTTCTCTTTATAACGTCACCATTACAGCTACAGATGAAGGGAGTCCACCTCTGTCCAGCATCCGGGTCATTACCATTCAAGTATCTGATGTTAATGACAGCCCCCCTCAATTTTTAGAGCCTGTCATTAATGTTTATATTAAAGAAAACAGCGCAGTAGGCTCTGTTATTTACACAATCAGCGCCATTGATTCTGATCTGGATGAAAACGGAAAAGTTACCTATAAGTTGTTGGACATTTCTCCCAGAAATATTCCAACATCATCTGTTTTAAACATCAACTCAGAGAATGGAGACATCGTCAGCCTGCAGTCTTTTAACTACGAGGAGCTAAAAACATTTCAGTTTAAAGTTCAGGCCACAGACTCTGGTGTTCATCCACTCAGCAGCAACGTGACTGTTAACGTTTTAATCCTGGATGAAAATGACAACAATCCAACAATTCTGGCTCCTTATTCTGAGCTGGGTTCTGTTAACAGTGAGACCATCCCCTATTCTGCTGAAGCAGGGTACTTTGTAGCAAAGATCAGGGCTGTGGACGCAGATTCTGGATACAATGCGCTGCTTTCTTATCACCTGACGGAGCCCAAAGGAAACAACCTGTTCAGGATCGGAACCAGCACCGGGGAGATCAGGACTAAGAGGAGGATGAGCGACAACGACCTGAAGAGTCACCCCTTGGTGGTGCTGGTTTCTGATAACGGAGAGCCTTCTCTGTCAGCTACTGTGTCTATTGATGTGGTGGTGGTTGAAAGCACAGCTGACATCCAGACTCAGTTCAGAAACGTGCCTCTAAAGGAGGACAGCTTCTCGGATCTGAACTTGTATCTGTTGATCGCCATCGTGTCGGTGTCGGTCGTCTTTCTGCTGAGTCTGATCAGTCTAATAGCTGTCAGATGCCACAGGACAGACGGTGGTTTCAGCAGGTACAGCGCCCCGATGATCACCACCCACCCTGACGGGAGCTGGTCTTACTCTAAAGCTACTCAGCAGTATGACGTGTGTTTCAGCTCAGACACACTGAAGAGTGACGTAGTGGTTTTCCCCGCCCCGTTCCCACCTGTAGATGCTGAACTGATCAGTATTAATGGAGGAGACACTTTTACCAGAACTCAGACCTTACCTAACAAAGACAAGGTAAGATAGTGTTTTGACAATATATATTTTTAATGATCAATTTCTGCAACAAGGTTTTGGGAAAAATATTCCTCTATTTGCAGTCATCAGATTATTATTATTATTATTATTTTTTTTTTTTTTTTTTAAGTGGCAACATTCTTCCATACAGTTATTTCATACATCTGAGGGCATTTTCATCTGTCTTTTTTATACAGGACAGAGCAGATTTAGACGTTGTGGTGGTGGTACGAGAGTGTAAAATTTGGTTTTGTGAGACGAGGTTTGATTTTAGATGAACGTCTGCATTAAACACACTTATTATAAAACCCATTACCGCTAATCCATCCCTACCGGAAAACACCAGAGTTTTCCTGTTCTCCAAATGTAGTCTCGGTGAACATATTCATAAACAATACACGAGCCAATCATTTCTACTAAACGATGTGTTATACCCTAAAGAAAAGTATTTGTTTAATCAACACAATCTCTAAAGAATAGTTTTGTTTAAACATCCAATTGTGTAGTTCATGATGTGGCGGCGCTGTCCATTGTGCTGAAATCAGTCCCCCTGTAGATGTTGCGTCAAAATTAAAAGTAAGGTGGCTGGACAATATAAATGTATTTCATATGTTTATATTCTTGGATTTTTTTTATCCTTGTGAATTTGTTCTACAAAAGAAATAGTGGGCCTCATTGTTTTAAAATGTCTTTCCTTAGTTTCACCACGTGGTGTCACTTGAGACCATAGATCCAATATTACTAGGCGTACAAAAGAAAACTCCACCCTGCACGGACTAAACTAAACAATCATTGGCTCTCTGAGACTCTGCTATTGTGCTGTGGTGAGATGAGCTGCTGCTGTTGCAGGATGCCCGTGTTTTTAAATATACTGGAATAATCGGATTTGGGACGTTGCGTTTTACCTTTTAAACATGGGGAACGCGGAACATGCTGGGATTTGTTTTCTTGTGCTGTTGTGTTTTTGTAACGGTTCTGCTTCACTGTTATACTCGATCCCCGAGGAGGTGAACAAAGGCACCGTGGTGGGAAACATCGCAAAGGATTTGAATTTAAAGGTGCAAGATCTCGAGACCAGGGAAATTAACATTGTGTCGAGCTACAGTAAGAAATATTTCGATGTTAATTTAATGTCTGGAAATCTCGTTGTTAGCGAGAGACTAGACAGAGAGGAGCTGTGCGGGAAGACGGCACGCTGCACCCTTGGAATACAGGCTGTTTTAACCAACCCCATGACTGCACATCGTGTGGAAGTGAACATTTTGGATGCAAATGATAACTCGCCAGAGTTTAGTGCCTATTCGTATTTGTTGAACATTTCTGAATCAGTGTCTTCAGGTGAACGCTATCTTCTGCCAATAGCAGAAGATGCAGATATAGGCAGCAACTCGGTCAAGGGCTACAAGCTTAATCAAAATGAGTATTTCTCCCTTGACGTTCAGAGCACTGGTGAGCATGGTTTGTCTCCGGAATTGGTGCTTGAAAAAGCGTTAGACCGAGAAAAGCAGCCGATCATTACTCTCATTCTAACCGCTGTGGATGGAGGAAAGCCAGCTAGATCGGGTTCCTTACATATACATGTTAATGTAATAGATGCAAATGACAGTCCTCCAGTTTTCAGCAAATCTCTCTTTAAAGTTCGAGTTAATGAAAACTCTGCACCAGGAACCGTGTTAATAAAATTAAATGCAACTGATTTAGACGAAGGCATTAACAGTAAAATACTGTATTCCTTTATTAAGAGAAGCAATTCTGATAAGTCAAATGTTTTTGAAATAGAATCAGAAACGGGGTTAATTACTTTAAAAAGCAGTCTTGATTATGAAGACACGCCTGCTTATGAAATCAGAGTCCAAGCCAAAGACCAAGGAGCTTCTCCTCGTAGCACTCATACTAAACTAGTGATAGAAGTAATAGATATAAATGATAACGCTCCAGAAATATCCGTGACGTCATTAATGACTCCTGTAAGAGAAGACGCACAAATGGGCACAATTGTGGCATTAGTTACAGTCAGTGATAAGGATGGAGGGAACAACGGTGTCACTAAGT